TCCATTTAGCTATAAATGACTAGTTTCTCATTCTTTGTAGCTGAGTAGTACTCCATTTTATATAAAAAAAAACAACACATCTTCTTCATCCAGTCTCCAGTTTATGGGCAATTGGGCTGTTTCCAAGCTTTAGCTATTACAAACTGTGCCACTATAAACATGGGTGTGCTTATATCACTGTGGTATGATTCTTTTAATTCTTTTGGGTAGACACCCAGTGGAGGAATAGCTGGGTCAAATGGGACCGCTAATCCTAGTTTTTTGTGGTATAGTAAAATTTTTTTTAAACGGGCAAAAATTTTGAGTAGTCATTTCAACAAAAAAGGTAGGTGGCAAATAAGCACATCAAAAATACATTGACCAGGTGTGGAAACACAGCCTTACTCCCAGCCCTCAAGAGGCTGAGGCAGGAAGATTGTGAGTTTGAGGCCAGCCTGGGCTATATGTGAGTTCAAGATCAGCTGGACAACACACTGAGACCCTATCTTAGAAAAGCCCACCAATCATCATGGGCTTAATCCAAATACACACCCACCAGAATAGCTAAAATATAAAAGACTGATTAAGTGTTGACAACGATGTGAAGCATCTGGAATTCTCACACACTACTGATGAGAACATAAAATAGTACACTTTGGAAAACAGTTTGGCAATTTCTTAAAAAGTTACACTTATTCCTACCTTATGTTCTAGCCATCCCCTATGTCACTGCTTCCAGTAGTCTATCCAAGAGAAATGGAAGCACATGTCCATACAAAGATTTGTACATGAATGTCCACAACAGTTTTATTTGCTTATCCATAGAGTGAATGGATAAACTGTTGTGGACAAGCGAGTTTGAACAATAGAGACGTGCCACTCTCTGTGTCAGATTTGAGCCCATTTATTATAGCTGGCAGCTGAGGGGACCTAGCACCCAGAAAGTTTTCTCAGCAATGGAAAGCAGTTTGATTTTTTTTTTAAATCATGTTTTTAGTTGGGGAGGTCTCAGGGGAGAACAAGCAGAATCTTATAGAAGCAGAGCCATGCCATGTTAGTGGGGGGTATAAGGAAATTTTATGCACTAGGTGAGCTATAAAACATCCTGCAACTGTAGCAAGTTTACTGTCAAACAGGATGTGGGAGTTTTGGGTGCTTTGTTTAAGCACAAGCACTTTGTTTAAGCACAGGTACAAAATGGCATTGAGGCACAAGATGGAGTTGGGTTGGCTATCACAAAACAAATATTGGTAATCTACATAAGGAATGTTACTCAGCAATAAAAAAGAACAGTTGATAATATGGATGAAGCTTAGTTATGCTATGTGAAGGAAGCCAGGAAAAAGATGAGTAGATCTTTATGAGTCCACTTCTTCAACATTATGTAAACTGCAGACCTGTCCATATGGACAGAAGCGGGTAGGCAGTTGCCTGTAGGTGGCCTGAGAGGGAGGGATTCTCAGGGGCTGGAGGGAAACTGAGGAGGCATGGATATGTTTATCACCTTGACTGTGCCATGGTTTCACAGGTGTGTATATTTGCCAAAGCTGACCACGGGGTCGCTCTGTCTTTAGTATGAGTCTGTAAATGACATCTCAATATTGCTCTAAACACCAAAAGTCATGTGGCCCTGCGACTTCAGCTCAGTCTCCCTCTAGGTTGCTGCCTATTAAACAATTATTTTAAAAACTGAAATCTCCAGTTGAGGCCAGGCCCTGGGCTGGGTGCTTACGTTTTGTTTTCTCAGGACTGAGGCAGAGCTAGTGAAGGCAAATGTCCCTGAAAGGGTATGGGGGCAGGGGTGCTGCTCAGAGGGCAAATCCTGGCCTATCTCAATCCTGTGCTCTGCTTTACAAATATGTTGCTCTGGCCCTTTTAGAGCGGGAGCTGGGTTCCTGAAATCTCCTGTGAGGAGGGCACTAAGGGACAGATGGGTTTCACTGATGCCCTCCTTTGCCTGTGCCAGTCTAGGGGAGGGCAGGTGTGCGGTGGAGGCCAGAGCCTGAAGGGTCTCCTCTGCAGCCTCTTCCAGATCCCTGGCACCTTGTGCATATTCCAGCTCACCTCCTGTAGTGCAGGAGCCGCACACTGACCAGGCTGACAGTGGGCTTCTTCATGGTCTGATGCACACAGGCGAGGGAAGATTTTTAATGCAGCTCAGAGAGGTTTGTAATGGAAATAACTATCATGTCCCACCCTACAGCCTCTTGTGTCTGTGTGGGGGTGGGGCCGAGATGCAGAGGAAACCAACCCCAGACACTGCAGCACGGCTCCCAGCCCCTTCCAGGAGACCAACACAGAGTTGCATCTTCTGGCTTGACAGCTCACCTAGGAGGACTGTCCAGACTGCTGGACACAGGGAGGCTCAGCACAAAGCAGACATGACACAGTGGACAGTGTAGACAACACAAGGACCAGCATCAGCAAGCAGAAAAGGATGGGCAAATAGATGAATGGATGCTTGAGTCTGTGATTCTGCACTGTGACAGACGGTGGAGGCACCGCAGATACCAATAGCATGTACCCCACCTTCATGATCCTGACAATCAAAGCTGTCTCTAGACACTGCCAAAGGCTACTAGACGAACCACTGCAGCTGTTAAAGATGTGCCATGTCAAAATACGCCAAGTTGGTAAATCAATGAGTTCTAGGCCCTGATCACTAGAGGCTGGGCCACCGGGCAGCAGTGAACCTGAATAACCTCAATCTTCCACTAGCTTCTATCCTGTCCCCCTCTTAGTGACAGCCTGGAATCCACTACCCTAATCCAGATAGCATTTGTTCTGTCCTCCTCTCACACACTTATTATTCTTTGTCTAAAAAGTATATAAGCAGCATGTTTTTGTTATTTCTTTGGACTCTACTCTTGTGAAGATCCCCAAGTACATGTAAGATAACAGAACTTTTATGCTTTTCTCTGTTTGATCAGCTCTTGTATTTATTGTGTTCCTCTATCCAACCAAAGACCCTCTGTAAGAAGGGGGGCAGGAGACTTTCTCTATCGTATACCACTTTGGACCACAGTTGCATCACCTGCAAAACAGCCACACTTGACCTCTCCAAGAACAAGATCTGGGACCAGACTGGCACTGTGCCATCCAGCAGCCATGGCCCCACCTGGAGCCAGCTGTCTGAATGGACATGTGCAGTGTTGGTAAAACACATACTGGATTCTGCCAGCTTGGTATGACAAAAACATTGCAAAAGAGCTCATTAATAATTTTCTCATTGATCACACATTGAAATGATAATATTTTGAGTGCATTGGATTAAATAAAAATACATTGTTAAAATTAATTTCACCTGTTCCTTTTTATTTTTGAAACCATGCCTACTGGAAAATGTAAAGCTGGCTATGTAACATATTATACTTCCATTGGACAGTGTTTGGGTAGAGATGGGACAAACGTTAGTCCAATGATCAATGAATCAGCATGATAATATGCTAACAAGAAAAGGAGAGGGGTGCGGCCTGAGGTCAGGGGTCAGGGGAGGCCGGCCTGAGGGAGCAATGTCAGAGTGTGGACTTCCGGGGGGTGAGGGGAGGGGGTGTAAGCCTTTGGTTACCATAACAAATATTTGCAAGAATCAGTTTAAAAAGAGGAGACTTGGCTCACAGTTTTGGAGAATTCAGTTCATGGTCAGTTAGGTGTGTTGCTCCAAGCACTTGGGGAGAAAGCCCGTTCACCTGCTAACCAGGAAGGAAAGTGACCTAAAACCTTTTCCTACACACCTTGCTTCTAAAGGTTTCACCACCTCCCAAGAGCAGCATGGGCTAAGGACCAAGCCTGTAACACATGGGCCCTTGGCCGATGTTTACCTAAGCCACAGCAGAAGGGGAAGAGGGGAAGTGAAGTTTGCGCAGAGAGAACAGGAAGGCCAAGAGCTGCGGTGGGAGGGGCATGTATGTCTGGGCAGATGCAGGCCCCCAGGCAGAGGGCAGGGAGGTGGAGGCTGGCAAAGCCCTGCATGGGGCTTTGTAGGTCTGGGTAAGGAGTAGGGCTCCATCCTGAAAGCAGCGGGAAGTCACTGAAAGGGTTTTAAACAGGGAGGTGACAGGATCTGATTCGCTTTCTAGAAAGCTCACTGTCCTTGATGTTTTATCCCCCCTTCTTAGAGCCCATACATGGAGAGGGCTCTGGAATCAGGCTGCTGGTGACAAATCAGAGTTCTGTAACTATCTCTGTAACCTGGGGCAAGGAACTCAAACTCTCACTGCCTCAGTTTCCACATTTGTAAAATGGGGTTGAAGCTAACAACAGTACGTCCTCCACAGGACTGTCGTGATGACCAGATGAGTCCTGTGTGAAGAATGCGGAGGGCAGGACTGGCCAAGTAGGGAGCATTCAGGGCTCTTGTCAGCTCCTGAGCTGGCCTTTCTGTCTTAGAAGCCCTGGCTTTCCTCCTGGGTGCACAGATGAAAATGAGCTGACCAGATTTGCTTTTGTATGTGTTTCTCTTTCCACTAGACTTCTTCCTGGGACTCCAGCCTGGTTAGAGTGCTTGCTCCCTCTTCTAGGGGGCCCGGAGGACATAAAGAAAGGAGCTTGGGGACAGTCAGGGAAAAGAGCTTGGAGACAAGGAGGGAACTCCATGCAGACCTCGATTCCAAATTTTCTCCATCTGCTGGATACCTCACAATTTCTCCCAACGCTGCTTCCTGAATAAAGCAATCTGGATAAAGAGGTCCTAGCCTAGCAGGAAAGCAATGAAAAATGAGCTTCCCTTGGCTCCAGCCCCTGGAGCACCCCATGTCGCTGCTAAGACGAGGCCGGAGAAGGAATGGCTTTCACAACTTCATGCACATATTTGGAGAAGGCCTTGATTCAGTCTTCTGACCACATTCCAAGAACCCAGCAGTGCCTCCATGAGGGGTGACCCCTGGGGGCAAGGCTGCTCTGGGATATGTTGAAAATTGCCCAAGAGCTTCCAGCAATGTTGGTGGCGTAACATGTATACACAAGAGCTCAACATCTTAAAAAATCCATCTGGGTACTGCATGGGGTAAACAAGAGCAATGACTTCTGTGACTCTGGATGTTAATGAAGCCAGAAGTTTCACAACAGTGCTCTTTCCTGGGCCTGACTTGCCGTCAATGGACAGGTTCGGGTGGCCATCCATCGAACTCATTTCCTGGGAGGATAATACTCATGCTGTGAGCACCAGGGAAGGGAAGAGAGGCTCTTGCCAGCTGAGCTGGGAGATATGGACTCTTCCATTGACTCTTCTGCTCTCTACGCAGTCGGGATGTGAATTTGATCTAGAATTTCCTATTAAATTTGCTGCTTCTGTGGTAGACCATGGACACCTTCAGGGGTCCCAAGAGACTTTAGATCAACTTCATCCTTTCTAAACAAGAGCTTAGGAGTGTGTGATCCTGTATGCTGTTACAATTCCTGGCATCCCATCCCTAAAAGAATAAGCCTCCTTGTGTGTTCTCTTTCACCAGAGAAGTTTTCCAAAAGTCCCCAAAAGACTTTTGCTGTGTCTTACTGGCCAGAACTGTGTCAGGTGTCCTCTCATCTGACCAATCGCTGGCATTGGATTGTTATGATTGGCTTCAACCAGCCATGATTCATCTCCTGGCACCTTGGGAGTTAGTGGCAAGGAAGAAGTGCGGTGGGATTGTCTGGCAGAACCTTTACTTAAAAGCAAGGGTGAACCATTGTAGGGCTTTGAGAAAGACAGTGACATGTCTAGATTTGTGCTTCTAAGACACTCTGGCGAAAGAGTAGAAAATGGTTTGAGAGGATGTATGAATGGAAGCAAAGAGCTTTCATCACTCTGAGTAAGGTTGGATAGGATTTTATTTGTACAGCAGAAATACTCCCCCCGGACCCCAGGTTTTGACATGTTGCAGGGTAATGTTTTGAAAAACTTCCTGGTACATTTTTCCTTCTCGGCAATTTGCTTATTCCTTCTCGCAGGCCCTAATGCTGGACTGTGCCGCGCTGTGCCCCAGGGAAGGGAGAGAAGACCTGCTGAAACAGTGCACACCTGCCAAGCTTCACATCAGATTTCTTCACTCTACAGAAAGATAATAGCCTGGAACAGGGGTTGGCCGACACTGTCAGGTATGCCAGATATGCTGGTTGTTCTTGTAAAGCTTTATCGGGACCGGCCACGTTCATTTGCTTGTGTGTCACCTGTGCTGATTTGTTCTATATCAGCATAGCTGAGAGGCTGCAGTAGGGACTTCATGGCTTGCAAAGCCTAGAGTATTTATTACTTGCCCGTATACAGAAAAAAATATATATATCAATCCTAGTGGAGAAATGCTGACTTTGGAGAGAGGAGGCACTTTCTTGAAATATCTGAGCTGTATTCTTACATATCAAAATCCAAAGATTGGAGGGCCTGCCCCAGAGTAGGAAGGAAGACAGCACAGGGGAAGGTTCTGCCAGGCAGAATTGGGGAAAATCCCTCCAGGCCCGAGACAGGCCAGACGGGGTGGGGGGCACTGGATGGGACCTAGGAGAAGCTTCTGCTGGTCCCCCAAACTCTAGTCTCTGCTTGGACCATTTTGACACTTCCAGAAGGCCTGCCCTGGCCCCTCACACTCTACTGAGTTAACCCCAATTTTTACCTTACAAGGGCCTCCAGACTTCCCTTTCCAGAACACTCACTATCCTGTAATTCTTCACCCGATATTGGCTTAGCCTACCAGAGAGATAATTCTAGGAGGCAAAGCCTATAACTCATTTATGACCTTGTGTAATTCAGGATAACACTCAGCAAGTGCGCAATGCACGAATGAATAAGAGAAAGGCCATGCCCCAACTTATCTGTCTTCCATATTTCATTGTCTAATAGCTCTTGCAGCAGGCTTATAAAGGCAGGCTCCCTATTTAAGAGAGGAAATGACAAAGCCATTAACCTTTGTGGCCCTGTTTTCAGGCAGGACTCAGAAACCACAGAAGGCCCTGGGTGCTTGACGTTGAAGTGTCTACACTGCTTTCCATCCATTACTTGCCTCTCCAGTAGATTTTGCTGTTATTTGCATGGAACAAAGACTTTGCCAGACCAGTTTCTAAGTTGGAGAAGTGAAGCCACTTGGTCACTGTTTAACTGAACCAATTAACTGGAGGTATGACAGCCACAAGCATGGACAAGACTCTTGTGCTGCAGAAGGGAGGATGTGGTTAAGTGTTCTTGTGCAAAGACATGTGGGGTGAGGGTGAAATAATTTTGGGCTGTACCTTATACTTTTGCGCATGTAAATTATACTTCAGTAACAAGTTAAAAAATAAAAAAGAAAAGCAAAATAGTCTTGGCATACATTTTGTGGCAAATTAACTAATGGTCAACTTGTAATGCCCAGCTGAACTGAATCAGTGTGCTCTGTGTGTGGAAGACCCACCTGAGGATTGTTGCCAATAGCCATAAAAAGAGAACTGGAGGGGACGATCTTAGCCTGTTGATTTCCTAGGAGAAGCTTGCTGGTGCAAACTTGGCTGCTCTCATCAAAGGAGGAGCTTAGGCCCTTGCTGTCGCTGGGAATGGCTGCTGTTCTCATCAGGGGAGCTCCGATCCTCACTGTAAGCATCACTTCTGGACTCCAATGTGGATCCCTCAGCCTGGTGACATAAATCCTTCATCCCACTGGTGTAGGTTTTCTGGCTTCCACCACTGGGCTTTGGGCTTTGCTGGTGCAGATCCTCAATATGGACAAGCATGAGACATTGCTGTGGGCTCTAGGCTTCTGGCTAGACTTGTGGGGGGCACTGCCTCATGCTCTAAGCCTTTAGCTGGGCTTGTATGGGACATTGCTGTGGGACCCAGGCCCTTAGCTGGATTCTTTAGGTCTCTAGTGTGTGGCTAATCTCTTGCACTACTCCATATTTTTGGGTAAATATCACAAAATAATCCTATAAATTATGTGTCCTGTATTAAATGTATTCCCTTGCCAAAACCCTGACTGTAACACTTTCTACCCTAGTCAATTTGTTAAAATAAAAGGCAACACATGTTTCCTGTTCAACAAGAGCCAGGTGCTCTGCTAAGCACCTGACATGCATTTTCTTGTTTAATCCTGACAACGACACCATCTACTGAAAAACAATGATTTCCTGAGCACCTTGCTGCGCCTGGTATCCTGAAGACCCTGGGATGCAAACAGTAAGCAAGACAGGGTAAATCCCTGTCTTGTGGAGTTTGCTTCCACTGGAGAGCTACCTTTATTAGTTTCAACTTATCATGAGGACTCTCACATGCTCTGGTTTCCTGGTGTCAGGCAGGACCCCTCATGCTTGTACTGGTCTCATGTGGCCCTGGTGGTGGCCCTAGTACTGGTCTTATGTGGCCCTCAGGCAGTGGTCTGAAGGGTTGGTGTACTCTTCCCCTGGGCTTGGCACACTCTGGGACAGGGTTCTAGCCTGGGGAGTGTACTTTTCCCTGAACTGCTCACAAAGGATTATTCTTTTTGTATAATTTTATTTATTCTTTAACTATGAGATCTGTTGATCCACCTATCTATCCACCCACATGGCACATAATTCTTGAGATTTAAAAAATTAGAGGAAAAGGATATCCCTCTCCTGTTCTTCAGCCCTTTATTTCCTTTCCTGGGGTCCCTTGCATCTGCAGCTGGAAAACATTCCAGGAGGTAGGGACAGGGGATCCCAGGTGCCTCTGCTTAGCAGACAAAGGCAGATGAGGAGATTTGGCCTGAGCTCCTGAGGCTCTGGGCCTGTGCTACTGCATGGGAGGGAATCCCAAGACAGTCTTCCAGTTCAGGTTGATGGTTCCTCTCCTTGAGCCACATTCTGCTTTCAGAACCTCTTTGAAGCCAGGCTTGCAACTGGAAAGAAGTCTCCCCCAGACACAAGTACTGGGTACTGTGTTTTGGCTTATAAAAGCCACCCTTCTGACGAGTGGGTGGACTATATTGTATGTTGCACAAGCTCACTGATGTGGGTTGACTGAGCACTGTAGTTAGGCCATGTGGTAGGACAAAGTAATGAATATTTTTTAAATGTCTGCTGTACTCATCTCTTCTTCCCCCAGCCTCATAGGAGCCGTTAGAACTGGATATCCTTTTGAAATCATACAGAGCATTTTAGCTCTAATGCATAATGAAAGAGATGGTCAAGGTCATGAAGTTGGCATACTGTTTTACCTTTTATTTAAATGGATGTTTTCCTCTGCAGTGAAGTGTTCTGCTGCTAAGGACCATCTGGCTCTGTTCCCATGCCCCCATCAAATTCTCTAGACCCCATAGGGGTTGCGTGGAACCTGGGGTCAGAAGAAAAATTGCCCATCTTCTCCTTGTGTCTATCCTCAAAACCCTCTCTTAATTAGCTGCCCTTGGCCATGAGCTATTGACAAAGCAGTATCAGGGCTGACACATTGCAAGAATGGGCTACCAGGTCAAACACTGGCGGATTCTGGATCTCACCAGGCAAGAATCTGTGCCTAAGATCAGATTTATTCAGAGTCTGGCTGAAGACCTGAGGTTTCCACAGGTCTGGGAGAAGTAGGTTGCCGTGGGCAGAGGATGAAATGTGACACTGAGGATCACAAAGGTAACTGAGACACAGTCTCATTTTAAAGATCCAATCACCTAGAGTGGGAGAGCATTCATCCTAGAGATATTAATTACACATCTACTATGTACCAGGCGTAGGGACACAGAGACAAGACGTAGGTATCCTGTTTGTTTTTAGCCTGTAGCTGGATGGGAACACAAACCTATGAACAGAGAACTGTGATCTTGCAGGAGAAGTGAATGTCAAGTAGAATGCAGTCAGGATGGAAGATCAGAAATAGCTTCAGGGAAGGGGTGACAGAAACCTTGAGAGATGAATAGGAATTTTTTAGGAACCCAAGATGGGAAGGTTACTGGGGTAGCCATAGCTGGGAGGGAAAAGAATAGAGTGATGGTAAACAGAAATTTGTAGGGAGTAACAGTAATGATGATCCTAACAAACACTTATGTATCACTGTTAGGCATTGGTCTTAGATTATAGATACATCGGCTCACTTAATTCTTACAATAGTCTTAAGTGCCAATAACATTGGACCACTTGACCATGATCAGGAGTGCTTGTTGGTTAAGGGCAGAGCTGGATTCAAACTAGCAGGCTGCCTCTGGGCTAGGTGTTACCACCACATTCTATCACCATGTATCAGGAGCACATGTTGCGGGGGAGGAGGAAGCTGTGCTGGGTAAGATCTGACATGTTTGTTAGGGCTAGATGGTATGGAGATTTGTCTGTGTGCCTAAGCCCAGCCTTGACCTTGTAAGAGCAGAATTCTGAATAGGAGAACTTGAAAGCAGATGTGTGTTTTGAAAAAAAAAAATCATGTTGGCAGCTGTGATAATGAAGTAGAAACAGAGGAACCTGGAGTTTGGCTTAAGGGTACTGCGACTGTCCAGGCCAGACCTCCGGACACCTGAGGGGTGGAGGCAATGGGTTGGAGAGGAGGGGAAACACTGAAGAGCTACTTTTGGATTAAAGCATTTGGGAATATAGGGGCAACACGGAAGCGAGCATTGGCTGATTCTTGTAGCTTGGGAGCCATTTGTCACTGCCAGCTCTGAGCAGCTGCTCTGGGATACTCTGGAGTGGGGACTGTTGCCTTCCACTGAGATGCTGCTGTGTCCCCTGCTGGCCTCGGGGGAAGGGACAGCATGAAGAAGGTTACATTGCCCTGCAAAGCTGATAGAGGGGGGACATCTCGTCATTCCTTCCAATGCTGCAGACAAAAGCACAGTGGTTTGAATGTCACAGAGAAATCTCAGCACTGGGCTGGCCATGCCTCTCACTCAGGGTCTGGAGCTCCTTCCTACAGCAGAGCTGCTAAACCAAGATCCTCTTTCCTCAAGTCTTAGGGTCACACATTACCAGTTGTGCCCACGTGAGAAAGCAAAAATTAGTTTGTATGATTACAATCTCTGCTCCCAGGAAGACAACCTTGTCACACTTTCTGGCAAACCCATTCTCTCCTCATTTCCACCTTTCCCTCTAGACTAATTTCTCAGCCTCACCTTTGGATACTCAAGAGGCTCATTAAAGCATTTTCCCAAACAAAAGAACAGTCCTTTCCCAAAGATGAATTTTGCTGCCACCCCTAGAATGCAGAAACAGCTGCAGGGATCTTTGAAAACTGCAATGTTTTCATTACTCCTGTAATGGTAAATATTGCAAATAAGACTAAGAACAGAGATGATCAGATTTAGCTAGTGTCTGAATACCAAATATTTATTGAAGAAGAATGAGTGGATCAACTCTTTAAATGGGGAAAAGACAATATGGGAATATTAAAAAAAGTTCTATTGTATTAGAGACATCAACCAGTTCTTACCTACACTACTGCTCACCTTGGTGGCCCAGGAAATTTCAGTCTTTGCCACTGGATTAACATGGTCCTGGATAGCAAGACTGCCCCTTTCCCATCAGGAACACCTGATAAAAGCAAGCATAAATCTTCCCAAGAATATATCATCGAAGGCCTCAAGTTACGCCCAGAAAGAATTTTTCTATTACAGCATCTGACATCAAATCAAGATAGACCAGGTGCTATGGTTTGCATGTCCCCCAAAAGCTGATGTGTGAGAGACTTGGGCACCAGCCTGTGGTGCTATTTGGGAGGCAGTGGAGCCTTAAGAAGGTGGGGCCTAGTGGGAGGAGGTTAGGTCATTGCCTTGATCTGCCCTTCGTGACTCTGGCCCTCTTCCAGCCATGCAGTGGATGGCTTTGCTTCAACAAGTGTTTCCTGCCATGATGTTCTGCCTCACCCCAGGCCCCAAAGCAATGAAACTAACCAACCATGGGCTGAAACCTCTGAAATTATCATCTGAAATAAACTTTTCCTCCTTTATAATGTTTATCTCAGGTAGTCCATCACAGTGACAGAAAGATGACTAACACACTGGGCATATGAATAAATATGATAATATATTTGATATCAGTCAGAAAGAACAGATAATAGAAATAGACATTTTCAGATATTAGAATCCTCAGACATAGATTTAAAATAGCTACTGGAAAGCTATTTTATGTCAGACACTGTGTTATTGAGGATAAAACAGTGAACAAAGCATGATTCTTGCCTATACTGTATTTTGTAGTCTTCTAGGGGAACAGAATTAATCAAATAAGTCAACTTGTAGCAGGTCAATTGCACACCCTTCCCTGTATCTGCACTGTCTGTATCTGTAATGTGACTTTGCAGCTGTTCTGAGAACTGATGAAGCCAGGTTCCCACTCCTTGAATGTGGATCAGTCTTGCACTTGCTTTGGCTAACAGAATGTGGTAAAAGTGATGGGGTACTGATTATGAGTCCAGGTCGCCAGAGGCCTTCTAGTCCTGAGAACAATTCTGGGCTGTGTCCTGCTGGAAAAAGGGAGATTGTCCTGGTCAAGGCTCCAGACTTGAAAGAGTCCAGCCAATATCTATGAATCTACCTATTGAAT